CTGTCTTAACAATATCAAGTTTGTTTTCTGAAGGCTTTTCAACATTATTATTGCTTTAATTAGCTACACATTTTCTTCTTTGGAACCATTTCAAATTTAACACTACACTTCTAATACTTTATTTGTTTTCAATATAGGCAGGAATATATTGTGGATATTCCACTTTAGAATATAATATCAATTTATTAAAAACAAAATTCTTTTAGAAGGGACAATACTATAGTATAATAAAACAATTCTAAATCTTACATTTCACTATAGGATGGCCTAAAAATCCCATATTCTGCACTAGCCAATGAAGTGTTTCCCAAGGATATATTGTTCCTTGATAATGAGTATATGTCTATAACTTGTTATTGAATTTATTTTTACATCCTATGTGTGCACATTTTTAGATTTGTTGTTGGGCAATTGTTGTAGTGCTCAAGAAAAGTTTGTAGACCCATGAAGCTATTTATTTTGTTCAAAAAAAATTAATATATTACACACCAAATATAATAATGTTCTTTGCTTTCAAGTAATATTGCCATATCAAGAGTAAAATCTTGCAAATATGTATTACTGTTCTTGAAGGGTTAGAAACAATCCCTTTTTAGTAGCAATATTTAAAATTTTGTATATAAAGAGCTCTAGTTCAACTTCATTAGAGCCCCCCGTAGAAAAAAAATATCTATATGGAGGTGAAGGTAGAATTTGGGGATGGAAATGGAAATTGATTTAAAATGCTAAAGGGCCAAGTATGAGTAATTATGACTTTCCTTTGAGCCATTTTTATATAAGCTTTTCAACTTTCCAAGGAGTTCAAGGATAACAAAAAAACTACAACAACTATAAATTTATGTTTTAATCTTGTTAATGAGGTTTATTTATTATGACATTAACAATCAAATTCATGAGTCATCACTTTCGGAAATGAGGCTTCATAATCATAGCTTGCTTGTAAACAAAAGAGCTTCTAGAATTCTAGATTATCATGTATACATATACTCTATCATTTTAATGACACTATATATATATATATATTCTTTTTTACACTTCTGCCAACTTTCTAAGGAAATAGATTGTAGGGAAATTTAAACACATTATAGTTGTAGGGCACATTAGCACATTAGCATTCTCTCATATGAGATTACTTTTCAATTTTGAAAATGTAGATAAACTTAATTATTACTTTTGAGTCTTTTCAAAGATTTTGATTACGTTTATTATCATTCACAAAAGACTCTTGAAAACTCTTAGTGGGGATTCACCATGAAAATATATCTTGTTCTTCTTATATGAGATGATTCCAATATTAGTAGGCAAGTAGAGTCTTTGATATAAATTAATGTATAAATTACAAATGCCATAAAAAGTTCTATAGAGTAGATTTATTAGTATTTTCTATCATGTTGTTCATTTTTTTATTTCTCTTACTTTAGAGTGTTTTCTAAAATAAAATTAATATTCTCACATTCCTTTAAACTACAACTTTTAAGGGGCCTAAGGGGGTTATGAAAGGTTTCAAATATATAGTAGAGATAATAAATAGGTTGGGTATAGCTAATCAACTTAAGATATTATTTAGCTCCTTATTAGGTATATTTGTCTTTGTTTTGCATCTGGCTTGAGTCTAAGTTTAAACTCTATACCATCTTAGCTGGTGGAATACTTATATCCTTGCATTAACTCACTGATATATTGAAATAATGTTGGACTTTATGTAGCTCTATTTTGTGTACTAGTCTTAGCATTGGGATGCTGGAAACTCTAGGATTATCTTAGTGTCATATGTAAAACACAAATCCCTAAACCCCAAAGTGGAGTTGAACTTGGGCCACATAACAATGGCCAAACAGAAGTTTAATAAGCATAATACATCTAGACCAAAAGCTCTGACATAGAAAGTTGAGAGCGGGAGTGGAACTCCTAAAAAGTGCTCAAAGAACGAGTATGAAACAATCAATGAATGAGTCATTAGAAAGGCACAAGAAGGACTAACACATGGAAGTGTTAAAACTGAGTCCAAGATCAAATTCAAGACCGAGTCCTAGACCAAGTCCAAGATTGAGCTTTAAACTGAGTCTAAAGCCAAGTCCGAGATCAAGTCTGAGGCCAAGTCCAAGACCGAATCCGAAACCGAGTCTAAAACTGAGTCTAAGACCAAGTCCGAGGTCAAATCCGAGATGAAGGCTAAAGCCAAGTTGGAGATGGAGGCCGAGGTTGAGTCCAAGATGGAGCCCAAGATCGAGTCCCAAATAAAGGCCAAGACCAGATTTGATATGGAGTCCAAGACCAAGACCAAGATCAAGTTTGAGCTTGAGACTAAGATGGAGGTTGAGGTTGAGTTTGAGATGGAGCCCAAGCCCAACTCCAAGATAGAAGCCGAGACGGGGTCCAAGACTGAGATTGAGATCAAGACTAAATTTGAGTCTAAGACCAAAACCGAGTTTGAATACTAATACAAGTTATAAAAGCCTAAAGCGATCATCCCCTAGAGAGGGTAGAGGGGGTTACAGGGGGTTCCAAAAATATAGTCGGGAGAGTGTGGGGCTTGGACTCTAGTGGAACTAATTTGGCCAAAAAAAGCCAGTGTGATCAAGGAAGGTTACACTCACATGGTGAGTGATGATGTAACCATTGAGAAGTCTAAGGCTAAAGTGAACATAGGTGGACAAGTGAGATAATTTGGTAAAATGTTCAAAAGTTGGCTCTAGCTCCTTTGAGAAATCGAATGGTTGATACTCCCAATTTAAATGTAGGTGGCACTACCTACTTAGATATTTATTGTGGCTCATCAAAACTCATTTTAGTCACATGGCTGGGGCACCCAGAAGCAAAATATGGGGGGAGTACCCACGAGGCTCACATTGGGTTGCAATGTTTTGAAATATTATTCTAAAGTCGTGAGCTATGGAAAGGAAAAGGAATGGTGTTTTTGCTTCGTGACCAAGGGTATGGTCACAAGGTGAAGAAGTCCCAAAAGTCAATGAAACTTAGTGGTCGGGCATTCAAGCCCTAATCCCTTGATAGGGACTAAAAGAGAAATATTGGGGAATGGTGTTTTCTATGTCTTGGGGCATTTTAAAGATGCTAAAGTGTGGTAATGGATGAGCACTCATGGATAAATAGCCCAATTTTGGAAGGATGGGGCCATGATACAAGTAGTGTTGGACTACCAATAGAACAAAAGTGAATAGACATAACTTTAGTGTAATAGGTTAGTAGGTTAGGGATACCCTTAGGTGTCTATAGTAGGAGTAAATATATAAAGCACTTGGACCAAGTGCAAAAATGATATAATTTTAAAGTTGCCTCTCAGGATTAGCAAGTTTGCAAGTTGGGATGAGAACTTATAGAAGTTGTGAGTGGGACTCCTTTATATAGTCAAAGGTGTGGTTAAAGTAAAATAAAAAAATTAATCACTTATAACTTCGTATCAAAGATATTTCTTAGTTTAACTTTTATTAGCGATCAAATATATCATTATTTGATATCGACATTTAAAAGTCCCAAGAGTGGGACTATATTTAAGGAGTTGCATGTTGAGAGGGCATGACTCTCCACTTTAGTTTATAATTGAATTTGTAAACAATATGATGGATTGAAAAGGGCCAATAAGGAAATAACTTTAGAATTTTGGGAACAGTAGAAGGTTTTTCTTCAAAGAGTTAAAGATGTGATTTATATAAGCATTTGATTTAGAAAACTAGCTAATATAGTTATGGTAAATAACTATAATTGGGATCATAAGGATAAAGACTCTTAAATAATAAAGGAGTAAAAAAATTATCCTCATATAATTGAGGATGGTGCTTATGAATTTGATATTAGAATTGATGACTATAGGAAGTCAAATATGGATGAGGACTTATTATATGAAAAGATAGTTCTAAGGGGCAAAAGTAGTATACATGAAATAAAAGATAATTAAGTGTTAAAGATGGTCCTTATGAATAAGACATAAATACAAAAAGTTGGTATTCAAATGTGATGGCACTTCAAAAGTAATCATGAGGTTGAGTCATCGAATTAACAAAGTCTAAAAGCTAAATGACTCAAAAGATTATCCCAAAAGGCTTGGAGGAAATAAAAACTTCACAATTGTCATCTTCCACCTTGCATACAATCAAGAAGAGATCTTTCATTGTGGTGAAGGAGCTGCTACATTCTCATTGACATGAATTTGCTCTTCTTTACTTCCTCTTTGCTTCCTCCTCGTCAAAAAGGAAAACAATTGAGAGTCTTTGGCACAAAGATTGCTTACCAAGATCACATTGATATCATTTGACATCTTTCCATCATGTTTCCAAAGGCATGCTTCAACAGCAGGCATTGAGCTGCAACCACTTGTCTATGTGACCACCAAACAAAAGCTGCTCATTTGTGACTTGGCTGGATAGGAAGAGTTCCAATGGAGCTTTCCACCAATAATTTCTTAGAGGAAGTGAGAAATTGCTGTGTGCTTAAGAATTCGATTGAAGTCTCCACTCTGGAAGCTCATAGAGTTTTGTGGAAGGTCACATTCTCTAGAATTCTTCTTTTTTGGCGTTTCAGGTGTCTGTAAAGCCTGTCCCAAAGGACACTGTGCTGATTGTGTATGGAGGTGAATACTACAATGGTGACAAGGTTTGTGATTAGTTTTGCTACAGTGATTTGATCTTTGTGTTTGCTATGCTAGACTTACATTTATGGTGATCTCTACCGATACAAAATCAAGAAGAACGAGTGGAAGCTTGTCACCAGTCCAAACTCTCTTCCCCCAAGAAGCGCTCACCAGGCGGTTGCGTGGAAAAACTGGCTCTTCATTTTTGGTATGATGTATTTTTCCAGGACTTCTCTCTTCTTTTGGTAGTGTAGTCCTGCTGTGCTTGAGCATCGTACTCCTCTTCCTTGCATCTAAAAACTTGTCCACTTTGTTGAGCTGATCCTCAAGGCCGAAAAAGAAGCTCTTTTCGTGACCCGATTGAGTTCCAAACAGCTCCGTCTCATAAAAATCACCATCTCCAATTCGCATCTTGTGCACAACCTAATGATATTGAAGTGTTTTGTACAGTCATCACAAACCATGGAAGTTTCTGAGGATATGGATTGTTCACAGCAGCTGCTCAGGATGGCACTGGGATTTAAGTTTTGGAGCTTGCTCTTGTCAACCGAGAAGACATTTGAATCGAGCACCTTGTGCTCCTGGTTCGGATCTGGTTTTTGATTCTCTTGACAACTTTCTTGAGCTTCTTGTAGTAGTAATTCACCCGCCACAGCGGCTCTCAAGCTGCTTCTGGAACTTCACCACCTCCATTCTGCCAAACGAAAGAACCATACCCAGAACGCCAGTGAATTCTTCTTTAGTTAGTTTCATTAGGTTACCCTCAAAGCATATGCAAAGAATATACCAAGATGCTTTTTTTCTGTTCACTAGTTTCCAACTTGTCTCTTCCAAGAATCCTCCACAATCAGCTCGTCTACGCCCCAATCCTCGTAGCTAGAAGCAAGAATTCTTAGAAACGCGCGAAGAGGATCACTCACTTAACATACCTTCCATCAGGGAGGTACCGCCGAATCGTAAAAGGGATCTTCCGTTCACGCAGCTCCTTCATAGCAATCTGCAAAGAACATTCCAGAGCTCCATCACTCCACACAAATTCCTTTTCAGAGTTTCTATACCTCGAGTGGATCTGTCTCGCCCTCGAGTTCCACCATCACTGGAGCGTTCATACTGTCACGAAAGGCAAAAGAAAGGAACTTGAGTTCTCGCTGGCCAGACCAAACGCGAGAGAAGGTTCTCGCTCACCTGATTTGCAAAGCCCGTGTCCCAAGAACGCGAGCTCTCTCATACTTGGTCATATACTTGGTTGTCTTCCTGGGCTTATCACTGACCTGTTCGCTCTCCGCCTCTTGGAATTCCCCATCGCCGCCAAATTCCGGCGCCTCCTCATTGTTTTCTTGCTCCTCGACCTCTTCCTGGAAGATCAATCAAACCGCTGCTTGAAATGGAGCGGATATATCGTACCTCGGGCTCCACAGGCTCATCGTAGCTGCAATACACAGCATTAGACGATCGAAGTGCAGAGATGTGGCGACTTACTCCTCGCCGCCGCCATCGAAATCGTTGTAGTCGTCGTCCGCCATTACTTCTTCTCTTCTGTAAACCCTAGGCTAGGGCCATGCCATGGTTCGATTTTCAACCGTACAGGAGCGTACGGTACTCCACGATCCCGGGCTCGAATCTCTATAAGATCCACGCATTTGGAATATACTTTGATTGATCCATGAGCTGCCACCCTTCCGCCATAGCCGTGATCTTGGCCCCGAGCATGTACTTGATGGCAGCGAAGCCGTAATCTCCAACTGCCCGAATCTCCAAGGATTGTCGTGAGGATGAGATCCACGAAGGAGCCCTAGTCGAAGAACCAGCTCAATCCCACTGATTTTAGCCTCTGGGATTTATAAGTAAAATTTCCTTAGTTTTATTTTCGCTCTCATACTAGCAAAACTTTTGTTAGGCCACGAGACAAAAGAAGTATAGTAGATTTCTTCGAAAAGAGCTAGAAATAGATAATGAAGTCATGGATGAAGAAGAAATAATTCTGGTGTCTTGAATATAAAGAGGGATGCTTTTCTATTCAAAAGAAAAATAAAAATAATCCTCCAATTTTTTTCCTCCATCTTCTTTATTGCAATAGATTATTTGAGTCAATTAATGTTCGTTGCTTTTATTGGGAAAGACTACAAAAAAATGTAGTATTGTGAGATCTAGGTGCACATCGTTCATAGTATGGGGATAATACTATTTGAAAAAGAATTTTGTTTTGGTTGGTGCTATATAAAAAACTATATGTTTTATAGTTTCCATAAAACATCTTCTATTAATTCGAACATCAAGATTTAGAGACTGAATATCCTTGTGCAAAGCAGAAAGATGTTATCAAGAGTTTAAACTTGTTCTAATTCTGACAATGAACACTTCTATATTCTTAACAACTTAAGTAAGAGATTAATAAAGCATTAAACCATATACCTATGCCAACACCAAATTGGCAGTAGCGACTGAGATTACAAATAGATGGTTGGAATTAATAGACAAAGTTGATACTTATTTAAATCAAATAAGAAAAACCCAGAGAATTATTAAAAGCAAAAAAACATGATGAGGTATTATACATTTAAGAATTTAATCAAAAAGTTGACAGATGGTGTAGAGCTTTTCAACAGTCTGACAAATACATTAAAGAAAAAAATGAGGAAGACCAAGGATGGCCTTGGAGCTCCCCTCTTTGCTACAGTTTGCACAGTTGATGAACATTGGGGTGGCTGAAACCACCAATGCCAGCTTAAAAGCATAAGTGGGAGGACATGAAGAACAACACCTCTCAACAATATGGCACTTACCTTGTGATGGCTGTCCTATTCCACAACTACATGAATAATAAAGGCAAGGTTGAAAACTGGCAAGTTTATAACAAAGACATCATCCGACTTTGAACATGTGCATAGAAGCTCTTAACAACATAGAGCATACAATGATAAGGTTTATCCTTACTTTGGAAATGCCTACCATTTGATGGGGCTAGTGGTTTGTTTTCTTTTTTGATCTTTTCTGAGCTTTAATGCAAAGGAACACCTTGTGTTTATGGTCCATGGAATCCGCCAAAGGCTGGAAGAGGCCAATTTGGTAGATGATGGTGGTACATTTCGAAGCACAGCTGTGATGTTAGCCGAGAAGCATCTCACCAAATATCAGAGACACTCGCAGCTCATCACATGCCAGGTGCCATCACTGTAATTTCACGAGCTTTTTAATTCGTGTCTTTGCAGTAGAGGAGACATCCCAAGCTGGGAGGTGAAGCAGCTGTCGAAACTTGCACCTTGGAAGGTGTAAGAGCACTACGTACAAAGATCGATGCCACTGTGTAAGATGTGTTGTATTATAGACGTGTCTTCCTGATTTTATACTCTTTTTTGACACAATAGTTTGCCAGGGAGCGTTCTTTCTTATCTTTGACGTCCGTGTTTCCCATTCAGGAGATAAACTTGGGTGTTACGGAAGACGACGCTGAGGATGAGCGTGCGGTATGCGTTTGGGAACAAGTAATGATCCTCTATGAACACTATGTGAATCAGAGCTACCCAGTAACTCTATGAATCGTGATTCAAGAGACACCAACAAGGAAAGATCAGACATTAGTACGACTATGGGACAGAGAAGTCAAGGCGTTACGATTGATTGCCTGCGTGCTTGCAGGTTGAGATTTTTTCAAAGATACTGGAATACAAAGAAAAGATGGTGAAAGGAACAATTTTAACTGGAGTACAAAAAAAAGATGGTGAATGAACAGTTTTAATACAAGAAAAGAACAATTTGTCTATGATCTTGGAATCATCTGTTGCATTTGAGCCCTCTCCTCGACCATTTCTTGCGCATTTCCTGGTCTAGCTTCAGAGAGTGCAATCCACCAAATCTCGTCATCACGTGTTACTAATATGTTTGCAGGCTGAATCTTTCCATGAATGAAACCTCTCGCATGAATAGCATCGAGATGTACCAAAGCCTCCTCAAACTTTTCTCGGGTTTGAAGATGTGGTTCCCTATCAATCGAGATCCCACCACTGTCTTGCATAGCTAGAAAGAAGTTTAAACCTTCAGCTATAAATCCAGCTCCCCATAATCGTGGAATGCATATCCCTTGCAAATCTCGAAGTAATGCATATGAATATAGCTCACGAAGGTACTTAGTAACTCTTTCCTCAAACTTTGTGGTATCAGACCATTTGATAACAACGTCATCTCCCTTGAGTTTCCCTCTGAAAACATGTTGCTCCCTTTCAGCTTCAATCAACTGTAGCACCTCATGCTCATGAGCTTCAAGTATTTGGAAATACCCCTTCACAAGATTTGAAGATATTCCTAGAGCTTCACATAAGCTATATAGCTTCTTCATCAAAAACCTATTAGCCACTCTAGCACTTCCCCCAGCACTAGATCCTCCAATGCGCATGCTTTTTTGTCGTGGGATAATAGAGTAAACAGGAGGATCCCATCTTCTCTTGCCCCTAGAGGATTCACCTCCACTGCTTCCACCACTGTCACTTGGAGGAGGAGGATCTTGAGGGAGAGTGTTCTGGCACATGAGTTCGTGGTAAAACCACAAAGCTTGGTGCAAGCTGATGTTATTTGCTCCAGGCACAGCATCACACGTAACAGGATCCGAAACATAGAGGGCACTGGTTGGAGTCACTTTTATAAACCACCAAGCGTTACAGTTGGTGATCGCACCATACCCACAATGCATGGTGCGATTATCCCATAGATAGCCGTTCACTTGGCTTAACATCTTTCGATGCTGTCGTGGCTCCTGTTGAGCAAGCCGAGCGAATTCTTGACCACGTAGAGTGCTTGGCAAAGCACCCTCCTTCTTCGCTTCGGTGCACGCGAAGAATGCATCTCCGGCCCCTATGTGAAGGAAATCTGGATGCCCGATCATGACTGCGGCCGATCCATCAGCAAACAAGATCACGGGCGTTGTTGGATCGCGTCGGCGCCTCTCCCTGTTCATCTCCACCAGGGTCCGTGTGAAGAACGCATAGATGTTGTGTCGCACACCTTCTTCACAGGAGATATCTCCGAGTCCCACAGGGAAAGGGTGGTCAAACACCGGGAGAGAATCCACCGAATTGGCACAAAATGCCCTTGCCTCGTCTAGGAATGAGTCCCATACATGATATCCAGAAGCCGGATCTCGCTTGTAGACTGAATCTGTGACCCTGTCTGTGGGGAGATCTCTTCCGGGCCTGTACACAACCCTTGGAACTCTTGTTTGAAAGAGCTGATGCAGGGTCAGCATCACAGCATCACAGAAGCATCCATCGCCCTTGAAGCGCCATCGCGACCATCTACCCAGAAGCGCTGCTCTAAAAACCCTAAGTTGGAGGCTAAAGAGAGAGGATTTGGCAAGTATGGTCCTCGGACAGGTAGTACTCTTCAGAGATCTCTGAAATCCGCAAGAAACTTCTCCATGATCGCATCCGCGAGCTGGGTAGTGAAGCTTCGTCTGCTGCTCAAAGTTCTGCGATAGGTTGGTGGCTATCGTTCCAGCACAATGGTTTGTCGGCGCTTTCAAGTATATAGGGAGAGCTTGATACAGGAGTTCGCTGTGGACCCGAGGCGGATGACATCCACTACCGTCAGGTCGCCGTGATGCGCGATATATAAGATTAATTAAAGGAAGAAAAAAGATGAAAACTGTTGATCAAAATGGAGAACTTTGACGAGTGATAATACAGCTTGAGTGGCAAAATTATCAAATGCATAGCACTGGAAGAGAGCATGGACGATCGTTCTGGTGAGAGTGATTGTGAAGGGCAGTCATTACAAGTGCGAGCACCATGCAAAATGCTGTGGTGGATCTTAGCTTGAAATTCTGGCTAGTTCAAAAGCTTTGAGTGATGAAAAAAAATAAATGAACACAAGATGATTTCCAAAGGGAGCCTGTGACAAAAAGATTTACATTTGGTGGAAGTGTTTTTAGAAGAAAAGTCTGTTTCTTTTTACCATGAGCTTTGAAGAGCAAAAATCTAAACTTTCATACCTCTTTAATATTTTTGTGTGTAAAAGTATTTTTTCATCTCAAAACCAAGCTTTATCATGAAGGAAAGATTCACTTTAAGTTAAGAAATTTCTAATTTACAGTATGTTATTGGTTCGAAATCTGACATATATTGCTTCCAAATAAAGCAAATTAAGTGCAGCAAATTATTTTTATAAATATATTTGTAAAAAATATTTTTTTAAAACTCTTATCTTTTAGGTTAATGCTAGTTTTGGGTAAAGGGAGTTTTAATAAACATCTTTTAATTTCCACCTTTCTATCTAGCATGTTCCTATAATTTTATAGACTATTTAGAAGAAATTACTGTCAAAATTTACAATATATTACTAAAATTCTTACACATATTAAAGTATATTTGTGAAACCTTCTTATAAATATTAATTACAATAAGATGTTAATTTTCCATAAGTATTTTTCCAAACTCTTTATCTTCAAAGTTAATCTCACCATCTTCAATTGAAATATGAACACCTTCCAAATTAGCAAGTCTCACTTTAACCAAACCATTTTAAATCAATATAAAAACTAATAGTATTAAAATTCCTATGCACAAACCCTTTAGAATGAAATGTGTGTAATGTCATTTCAGTGCATTAACTTCTCCTTGATAATCCCATAAAATTGGCTCTATCCATCACCCTTAGTTGTCATAATCACTATTCTGTTTTTAGTTTGTGATTATATGTTACTCAAAGACAATAAATGAAAAAGATAATAATTTTATTTAATATAATTAACTTGCACTCTTATAAAGATTTTGCATTTGACCTTCATCATCAAACTCTTTTTGATTCCTCTTGCTTCTAAATTAACTCTTCTACATAATTTTCTACTCTTTTTATCACTATCTTAAGTTACAAATTGAAGCAACTTAATCTAGATTCATTTATTCAATAATCTCTAATTAATTTATTTTGAATGGTGTTTCTTTAGCTTAATATAGTGATTATGAATTTCTTCAATTTTGGGATACTCATTTTTGGATATGCTCAATTATATATATTTTATGGCAAAATGCAATTACATGTTATCTAAGTTTTATACTTATGAATTTAAACATTCTAAAAGGTCATTTAGCCCATACTACTCATCAAACCCAAAATATCCCAAACCCTTAACTGATTCAAAAAGGGTATACACTTTTATTCATGGCCCTTTCCTTTTATATATAAACTTTTATAAATGATTTATTGAGTTATTTTCTTTAATTACTTATAATCTATTATGCTTCCTTGCAAGTTTATGCCTTTATGAATGAAAGTTGAAAGTTGCAGCTATCTTAAAAACCTCACTCTTTTGATACTCTACCCCTTGAGGCAAGCCCAATCTGAGTAAATTGGATTATTAAATGTTAAACCCAATACCACTTATGATACCAAATGCAAATTGAACCACTAGATATTAATTTTAATATATAATATAATTCTTTTAGCCAACCAAAAAGTCTGACTTAAAACCCAAATGTAAGTTTTTGAATTTGGACATTATAGGAGCATTTAGCTTAATACTATTCAAACCTAAAGATGATTAACCTTAAATATTCTAAGTATTTCAATGTCTTGAAATACTTTATTCATGAGCTCTTTCCTTTTATATTTAAACTCTTAAAGATCATTGTTCTTTTTTGGTTACTTACAAAAGTGTGCCATTATAAATGACTTTTGAAAATTCCTAATGAGGATTCACTATGAAAATATACTTTATTCTTCTCATATAGGAGGATTGCAATATAAGTAAATTTTTTATATAAATTGATATTGTGAGGGCCAAGTGTACGGCTACGATGCCGAATACTTGGCCCTCACAATATATAAATTACAAATGCCAAAAATGTTCAATGGAGTAGATTTTTTAATACTTTCTATTATACTATTTATTTTTTCATTTCTATTACTCTAGAGTGTTGTTTTAGAAATAATAGAAGTATTTTATCAATGGTGATAATGGTTTTCACATTCCTAAATGGAGATTGTGACAGTGAAATGAAATTAATATTCTTATATTCCTTTGCACAAATCTTACTTATAGATTTTTAATATTTTTTGCTTCCCATCTTTTCAATAACTCTAGAAAAATCTTGCAAATGAAGGAATAATATGTAAATGTAGATTGCATTGATTGGCATACATTAATAATGTCTAGCCATCAAAATGTTTCAACTTGTATTTCTTGATTAATACAAGAAAATCAAAATGTGACAATTGTAAAAGTAGTTCATAGTAAAACAATATAACTTTTGAAAAGATAGATTCTCTTTTTAAATGATTTAATCTAGTATAAACTCTTGACTCAGTTTCAATATTATAAAGTTGGTCAGAATCATCATTTTTTCAACTTAAATTTCCTTTGTATAATTAACTGCATTGACTTGAGTTGACTTATGTTGAGTTGAACTCAATTCAACTTTGACCAAATGCCCTTATTAGTAAATATAAGCTCTCGGCATAAGTGCATTTCACAAGACTAAGGAATTCACAAATGCTATTTAAATCTTTGTAATGAATTGAGAAATATTGCCAATGTTCTCTATAATAAATACATGGAGGATTAAGTGAAGATGACATTTCCAGGAGCAAGCATGGTGGTGCAAGTGCTCCTCCATTGCCTTGTGCCTTAAATACTCTTGAGATTTGCTGCAGGATAATGGACCAGAAAGGAGTAAATTCATTTTGTTATTAAATTATTTAGTTCAACAGTATAGATATTTTAGTGATGGTTGGAAGATGGTGCTGGAGATGGAGCTGAAGCGGGGCAAGCTCTACATTGTTTACTTGAGAAGATGGTACCACTGCCACAAAAAATCTTACAGAAGTAGCTGCCAGAATCCTTGCTCTCTTTCTTGGCAGAAATTGACCTGCATATTTTGCACAGAATATTTGTTATTAGTCTTCCAAAAGAAACTCCTTACTGTGGATCTTTTTCAAGTGGTGAGGTCACATATGTATCCATGGCAACACCACTTGTCACATAAGGCACAGACTCATCTTCATCCAAAGTTTTGCTTGGAGTTGAACCACTTTTGATTGCATTACAGAATGCACAATACACTTCGTTGTTTGTTTGTTGGCAGCGATCACAAAAGAGTTTAGAGGCGTCTCTAAGATTTGATAAATCTGAGCAAAGCAAGTTAGCCATTAATAATAATAAATATGTACCTTCTGTCCGAGCATAAGATACTAATCCAGCAGACAAGACCACAAGAGAAATGCATAGCATTGTGACGCTTGAGTTAGCCATCACAAAACACTTCAGAGAATGCTTCTTTCATTATTTCTTTTCCTTCTAATTTATAGAATTCAGAAATATTTAGCAGTGGAAAACACAATGTACATACTAACAAATTTTTTTGTCACTTATGTTCAAAACAGCTGGTAACAGCTTGTAACTCAATCCATATTGCTCGCGAACATGACAAGTTTCTCTATTGGTTTATCACAAGAGTTGTGTAAGACTTGTGTGGAGAAACCGAAGCTGCTGCTAAGCACATAGATATCGTACTCCCTAGAGCTAGAGCAAGTGCACAAACAGCAAACAGCGGTGTTGAGAGGAAGACGAAACTCTTGACGTGTGACGCTACCTGGTAAATTTTCTTTCTTGTTTTGATGTACGCCTCTTAGAAGCCAGCTGTGGATCCAAGGTTTTCGGACGATCCATGGCCTGAAAACAAGTTCAATCCACTGAAGAAGATGTGGTAAACAGAGATCCCAATAAGTATAAGTTTGCCATGCATCTCATGACAATGAAAAGAAGCACACAGCTAACTTCGATTCTGATTCCAAACAGGACAAGAACACAGCATCATCTTACGAGATACGAAGAGCTCTCAACTCGCAAGGAGACCTGTGAGCAAAGTTGAAAACTTGAATTATAGAGCTCACAATTCACTTACAAGTCAGATGTGAGCCTGTCTTGCGTTGCTAGTGCTTGTAAAGAGCACCTGTAAAACTAAAAAACTGAGCTAGCTCCAAACAATAGATGGAAATACCTGTGACTAGTAGTATGACGTTGATCTCTCCCCTCTAGCTTCCGCACGAGCTTGCTTCAACGCCGATCGTTCGCCATAGTCGACCCTTCCACAATCGGGATACTTGAACACGAAGGTCTCCACGAACCATTTCCTGGGTAAAGTGACCATGTCCTTGAGATGGATCCTTTGGATGATCCCTCTGGACTTGAGCAAGGACAGCACCTTCCACCGGATCTTCACTCTATCCATGCTCTTCTTGCTCAGGTAGGCCGGGCACTTGAGCAGCTCCTCCACGTCCAGCTTCATCCCCTTGAAGAGAAAGTCGAGCTTCTGCTTGAGCACAGCATTGTCAACCTGGAGGATGTGTGGCTCGGCCTTGAGCATCACCGCGACGTGCCGGTAGTGGATGTCCATGCTCATCAGAAAGTCGATCTTGTCTCTCACGGCCTCGGGCCCAAAGCGAACTCCCCACGACATGGATTGCAACCACCTCTATTAATTCGAACATCAAGATTAGAGACTGAATATCCTTGTGCAAAGCAGAAAGATGTTATCAAGAGTTTAAACTTGTTCTCATTCTGACAATGAACACTTCTATATTCTTAACAACTTAAGTAAGAGATTAATAAAGCATTAAACCATATACCTACACCAAATTGGCAGTAGCGACTGAGATTACAAATAGATGGTTGGAATTAATAGACAAAGTTGATACTTATTTAAATCAAATATAAAAGCAAAAAAACATGATGAGGTATTATACATTAATCAAAAAGTTGACAGATGGTGTAGAGCTTTTCAACAGTCTGACAAATACATTAAAGAAAAAAATGAGGAAGATCAAGGATGGCCTTGGAGCTCCCCTCTTTGCTACAGTCTGCACAGTTGATGAACATTGGGGTGGCTGAAACCACCAATGCCAGCTTAAAAGCATAAGTGGGAGGACATGAAGAACAACACCTCTCAACAATATGGCACTTACCTTGTGATGGCTGTCCTATTCCACAACTACATGAATAATAAAGGCAAGGTTGAAAACTGGCAAGTTTATAACAAAGACAGACTTTGAACATGTGCATAGAAGCTCTTAACAACATAGAGGATACAATGATAAGGTTTATCCTTACTTTGGAAATGCCTACCATTTGATGGGGCTAGTGGTTTGTTTTCTTTTTTGATCTTTTCTGAGCTTCAATGGTGTTTATGGTCCATGGAATCCGCCAAAGGCTGGAAGAGGCCAATTTGGTAGATGATGGTGGTACATTTCGAAGCACAGCTGTGATGTTAGCCGAGAAGCATCTCACCAAATATCAGAGACACTCGCAGCTCATCACATGCCAGGTGCCATCACTGTAATTTCATGAGCTTTTTAATTCGTGTCTTTGCAGTAGAGGAGACATCTCAAGCTGGGAGGTGAAGCAGCTGTCGAAACTTGCACCTTGGAAGGTGTAAGAGCACTACGTACAAAGATCGATGCCACTGTGTACGATGTGTTGTATTATGTGAAGTGTCTTCCTGACTTTATACTCTTTTTTGACACAATAATTTGCCAGGGAGCGTTCTTTCTTATCTTTGACGTCCGTGTTTCCCATTCAGGAGATAAACTTGTGTGTTACGAAAGACGACGCTGAGGATGAGCGTGCGGTATGCGTTTGGGAACAAGTAATGATCCTCTATGAACACTATGTGAATCAGAGCTACCCAGTAACTCTATGAATCGTGATTCAAGAGACACCAACAAGGAAAGATCAGACATTAGTACGACTATGGGACAGAGAAGTCAAGGCGTTACGATTGATTGCCTGCGTGCTTGCAGGTTGAGATTTTTTCAAAGATACTGGAATACAAAGAAAAGATGGTGAAAGGAACAATTTTAACTGGAGTACAAAAAATGAATGAACAGTTTTAATACAAGAAAAGAACAATTTGCCTATGATCTTGGAATCAACCGTTGCATTTGAGCCCTCTCCTCGACCATTTCTTGCGCACTTCCTGGTCTAGATTCAGAGAGTGCAATCCACCGAATCTCGTCATCACGTGTTACTAATATGCTTGCAGGCTGAATCTTTCCATGAATGAAACCTCTCGCGTGAATAGCATCCAGACGTACCAAAGCCTCCTCAAACTTTTCTTGGGTTTGAAGATGTGGTTCCCTATCAATCGAGATCCCACCACTGTCTTGCATAGCTAGAAAGAAGTTTAAACCTTCAGCTATAAATCCAGCTCCCCATAATCGTGGAATGCATATCCCTTGCAAATCTCGAAGTAATGCATATGCATGTAGCTCACGAAGGTACTTAGTAACTCTTTCCTCAAACTTTGTGGTATCAGACCATTTGATAACAACGTCATCTCCCTTGAGTTTCCCTCTGAAAACATGTTGCTCCCTTTCAGCTTCAATCAACTGTAGCACCTCATGCTCATGAGCTTCAAGTATTTGGAAATACCCCTTCACAAGATTTGAAGATATTCCTAGAGCTTCACATAAGCTATATAGCTTCTTCATCAAAAACCTATTAGCCACTCTAGCACTTCCCCCAGCACTAGATCCTCCAATGCGCATGCTTTTTTGTCGTGGGATAATAGAGTAAACAGGAGGATCCCATCTTCTCTTGCCCCTAGAGGATTCACCTCCACTGCTTCCACCACTGTCACTTGGAGGAGGAGGATCTTGAGGGAGAGTGTTCTGGCACATGAGTTCGTGGTAAAACCACAAAGCTTGGTGCAAGCTGATGTTATTTGCTCCAGGCACAGCATCACACGTAACAGGATCCGAAACATAGAGGGCACTGGTTGGAGTCACTTTTATAAACCACCAAGCGTTACAGTTGGTGATCGCACCATACCCACAATGCATGGTGCGATTATCCCATAGATAGCCGTTCACTTGGCTTAACATCTTTCGATGCTGTCGTGGCTCCTGTTGAGCAAGCCGAGCGAATTCTTGACCACGTAGAGTGCTTGGCAAAGCACCCTCCTTCTTCGCTTCGGTGCACGCGAAGAATTCATCTCCGGCCCCTATGTGAAGGAAATCCGGATGCCCGATCATGACTGCGGCCGATCCATCAGCAAACAAGATCACGGGCGTTGTTGGATCGCGTCGGCGCCTCTCCCTGTTCATCTCCACCAGGGTCCGTGTGAAGAACGCATAGATGTTGTGTCGCACACCTTCTTCACAGGAGATCTCTCCGAGTCCCACAGGGAAAGGGTGGTCAAACACCGGGAGAGAATCCACCGAATTGGCACAAAATGCCCTTGCCTCGTCTAGGAATGAGTCCCATACATGATATCCAGAAGCCGGATCTCGCTTGTAGACTGAATCTGTGACCCTGTCTGTGGGGAGATCTCTTCCGGGCCTGTACACAACCCTTGGAACTCTTGTTTGAAAGAGCTCATGCAGGGTCAGCATCACAGCATCACAGAAGCATCCATCACCCTTGAAGCGCCATCGCGACTATCTACCCAGAAGCGCTGCTCTAAAAACCCTAAGTTGGAGGCTAAAGAGAGAGGATTTGGCAAGTATGGTCCTCGGACAGGTAGTACTCTTCAGAGATCTCTGAAATCCGCAAGAAACTTCTCCATGATCGCATCCGCGAGCTGGGTAGTAAAGCTTCGTCTGCTGCTCAAAGTTCTGCGATAGGTTGGTGACCATCGTTCCAGCACAATGGTTTATCCGCGCTTTCAAGTATATAGGGAGAGCTTGATACAGGAGTTCGCTGTGGACCCGAAGCGGATGACATCCACTACCGTCAGGTCGCCGTGATGCGCGATATATAAGAGTAATTAAAGGAAGAAAAAAGATGAAAACTGTTGATCAAAATGGAGAACTTTGACGAGTGATAATACAGCTTGAGTGGCAAAATTATCAAATGCATAGCACTGGAAGAGAGCATGGACGATCGTTGTGGTGAGAGTGATTGTGAAGGGCAGTCATTACAAGTGCGAGCACCATGCAAAATGCTGTGGTGGATCTTAGCTTGAAATTCTGGCTAGTTCAAAAGCTTTGAGTGATGAAAAAAAATAAATGAACACAAGATGATTTCCAAAGGGAGCCTGTGACAAATTTACATGCTTTAGAAGAAGATTTCATAATTCTGTTTCTTCTTCCCATGAGCTTACATTTGAGCAACATTTGGAAAGTATGATACAAAATAAAAATTGAAAAATTATTAGAGCAAAATAATTTCATACCTCTTTGATATCTTTGTGTGTAAAAGAATTTTCTCATCTCAAAACTAGGCTCTATCATGGAGATAAAAATCACTTTAAGTTAAGAAATATTTAGTCTACAATGTGTTATTGCTTGGAAATCTCATGTATGTATGCTATTGCTTCAAAATAAAGCAAACCAAGTGTTCTTACAAGTGTAGCAAATTATTTATATATATTTTTATTTAATTAGCCTTCTGAATATTTTTTAGAAATATATTTGTAAAATTTTTTTTTTTAAACTCTTATCTTTGCTAGTTTTGGGTAAAGATATTTTTATTAAACATCTTTTAATTTCCACCTTTATATCTAGCATATTCCTATAATTTTATAGACTATTTAGAAGAAATTATTGTCAAATTTACAATGAGCACAATATATTGTTATAATTCTTACACAAATCAAAGTATATTCGTGAAAATGTCTTATCAAATATCATTTACAATAACATGTTAATTTTCCATAAGTATTTTTCCAAACTCTTCATCTTCAAGGTTAATCTCACCATCAGCAGTTGAAACATGAACACCTTCTAAATTAGTAAGTCTCACTTTAACCAAACCATTTTCCTCCTCACCAAAATCAACATAAAAACTGGTAGTACTAAGATTCCCATGCACAAGCCCTTTAGAATGAAGTGTTTCTAATGCCATTTCAGCTGCACTAACTTCTCCTTGATGATCCCATAAGATTGGCTCCATCCTACCTTTAAAAACAAGCATAAATATCATACCCACATGATAAAACCCATAATCTATAAGCTCTGGCACACATCCCCCTTGCAAGCCCCGCAGTAACCCATTGAAAGCATGGATCTCTCGAGCAAAAAACTCAAGGTAGCAAGGTTTTTGAGACAGATCCAAATACTTGATAGTAACTCCTTGGCCCCTGAACGTTGCTTGAGATGCAGTGAAATGCTCTCCGACTTGCACACACACACCCAGCTCTTCAAAATCACCATAGGAGAAGATGCTACACCTCCCGGCAATGGAATCCCCCAGAGGCACCCCAGACAGCAGCAACTCAGGCTTGAATTCCTGGCAGCACGGGCACCCTTGCGGAGGCTCGGAAACTGGCTCCCGATAGACAAGGTAGCTCAGCAAGTACCACAAGCACG